AGCTCAAGGCAGTCTCAGCAAGTCCAATGGGTTCAGAAATATATCTTCCACCCAGTGAAGTATTATTTCCTGAGTCCTCAAGTGCATACTTAGGATGGATAGACTTGAATCTGAACGAACTTTCCATTGATTCCTTGGCCTGGGGGTTAGAGCATAAGGAGACTATTTCAAGAACTTGGCCTTTGAACTAATATGCTAGGAATACTGAATCCTGGGATGAAATTGCCAAGAAATAACACCAAAGACTCAAGGTGGAGGCCGCTAGCACCACATCCTTAATAACATTTATGGCTACTATGCAAACATGACTGCATTATGACAAATGTTGATAAAGATTACATAGTTCTCTATGTGATCTCCATTGAAGCTGCTTTGCTGGAGGTGGTAATGATAATACCAACACAACATTCACTTGATATAGAACATACCAAGTGCATAAAGAAACTATGGCAAACAGGTTCTTCTCAATCCCACTGAGAGGATCTGAGTCAATTTATATTTATGTGGGAAAGAGAACAACAGTGCAACTTCACAGCCTTGCAAGTCTGTTAACTCTCCCTTTTGTTATATAGATTGCAAGATCTCGATCACTTTGACATACCACAAAATACCATGTTAATCCTCTACACTGATGTCATGCTGGTGAAAAGGAATAGCAAGTTTTCTGGCTGCCCTAGAAAGACAGATATGACATGTGGTGAGAGAAGCCCTACAGAGATTGAGTGATCCCAGAGTTGGTAGGATTTTAAGATTCTAGTGATCCTTTATATGCCAGGACATCTCTAAGGTAAAGTACCTTGTACCCCACCCCACTACCAAAAAGTCCCACAAATTTGGTGGTTTTTGGATAGAGTCAATATATAACACAATTGCAAACCTTGCTCCAACACATTTGCCAGATTCTTCCCAAGGCTTCTAGTTTCAAATGGAGCCCAAAGGAAGAAAGCTTTGTAGGAGATTCAGGCTATTGTGCCAGCTGTTCTGCCAGTTGATCCAACCGATTCCAATGATAGCAGACATGTTTCTGGTGCAAAAGAAGGCAATAAGGAATGTCATCTAGAAAGCCACAATTTGGAAGCCATAAAGTTTCTGGAACAAAGCCATGTTAACTGCAGCATAGAACTATTCAGTCATCACACAGCTGTTTACATACTGCTGGGCCCTCTTAGAGACTGAGGATTTAGCCTGGGGTTATCAAATGACTACATAACTGGAGCTGGCCATCATGTCTTAGTATAGACAGACTAAATCATAAGGTCAGATGAGCACAATAAAAAGCGTTTAAAAAATGGACATAGTACAATCAGGTAAAGTCTAAGGTCTGGAGGGCACAAGTTGTATAAGCAGGTGATCTAGACCCCACATCACCGATCTCTTTCCCTAGATCACACCTATTGACTCATGAGTACTAGCTTCCTACAACCAATAGCAAGATAAAACCCAACTCTAGTGCAAAGCTCAGTGAAGGTGCTGGCAGAATGTCTGCTGCTGCTGGATTACAGCCCTACGAGTGCATAGCCCCAAAGGACAGTGACAAGTGGAAAGCCACTTAGTGGAAAGAATTATTATATACTAGAGGCCCAGCGCACGAAATCGTGCATGGGTAGGGTCCCTAGGCCTAGCCTGCAATCAGGGCATTCTTACGCCCACTTGCCAGTCCTCTGTCCAGCCCCACCACTGCCACCCACCCCGGTTCCTCTTTCGCAATCCAGCGATCAAAAGGACTTAGGTGCCTTGTGCCATCAAAGGGCACCTGGCGTTTTGCTCCCTTTAAAGAAGTAAAATAAACACCTCTCTTCACCTGTCTCTTCTCTCCCTTATGAATCCTTTCACAGCCAGCGTCAACAGACAAAACCCTAACAATGACCTGGAAAACTCAACCAGGAAGGGCTATGTCTGTGGGAGGAGGTGCAGGGAACCAGGGCTACCCCCTTGCCCCCTTGCTCCTGCCCCGCCCTCCCTCCCTCTGTCCCTGCACTGGCCCAGCCGCCTGGCTCAGCCCCTCCCCTATGGCAAACTACTCAGCTCAGGCTCTGGCCCCGCCCATCCCGGGGGAGGAGCATGGGCAGTTTTTTTGCAGACAGGGAAGCAGCCGTGGAGTAGGGAGGTAGCGGGTTCTGAGGAGGGTGTTTGTGCTTTAAAGCTGTTGTTCTCCATCCACCTCCCAGCAGTGAAGGCTGAGGGCTGCTGCAGGCGCTGAAGTCCTTGTTGAAGTCTCTGCTCTGGAGCCTCTCACAGCAGTGAGTCCGCATCCCAGGAGGCTGTGCAGTGGAGGTGCCACATTCCTTTCGGAAGAAACTGAGGACCGATCAGAGCCTGCCAGCCAGGGGAAGGAACCAGGGGAAGGAACCAATAGGTCTGCCTTCTGCCTGCTCGCCAGTCCCCAGTACGGCTCTACCACCACCCAGCCCAGTTCCCCAAAGTTCCCCGGTGGCCATCCAGCGATGGGAGCCTGCGGGCTGGGGGAAGGACCAAGAGGTGGTCAATGCACCTCATAGCGACTGGTTGATCGGTCGTTCTGGTCGTGACACTTGGCTTTTTATATATATAGATAGTCCTTAAAGTTATGTATTGAAAGAAGTGACATGAGCAGGAACTTCTAAGAAAATGGCCCTGATGTTTGGTGAGTGCCTGGATGAAATGAGAAATATAAGAATACAAAATTCAGTGGAAAGAGTGTGTTATTGAATCTATAACAGGGGTCATGGAGAATGATCTGTGTGTCTTACATCAATGCTAAGACTGAACAAGACAAACAGATTGACTTGTCTATTTGACAGCAACTACCCTCAGTTCTTGGGTTTATATCTTGATAGTGACCTTCTATATACAGTACCACCCCCTCAAGGAGACTGACCAGGCACTGGGGATAAGTTGAATATTGGGTCCCTTCTATCCTGGAAGGAGCAGTGATTCAGCCTCAGAGGAGATACGTACTCTGAGTATGGGCTTGCCTCTCTTGTTCACAGTGCTCAGCCAGCAGCACTACCCAAGGGCTCACCAGATATCACTTATGTAACTTGTCTCAGACTAAGGAATCCATCTTATAGTAATAAATATACAATAAAACACGGCCAAGAAAATCATTGGTTCTACCAGATCACTTGCAACCTACAAGCCCAATAGGATGTGAGAATAGTCTCTTAAAGGTAAAGCTAAGGCATCAAGTAATCAACCTGAACACAATCCTTCTGTACTTGGGCACAGTCTTTAAGAATGAGGTATATGCTTTAAACCAATAACTATTATATGGTGTCTTTTCCCCAAGAGTTAGAGAACATGGGTCCTTGAGACAAGGAGTAGAAGGACTAGCTGCTGCTTCTATCATATTAGATCCACTTGAGGCATTGATGCTTCTTTTCCACATGCCTTTAAGCATTGTTGGACTTGAGGTTCTGGGTATCTGAGAGGAAGTGGAAGAGAAATGCCTCTACCAGCAGACACAATAAAGGGTCTACTAAATCTTAACTCATGGTAGACCAGCAAGTGAAGGAGAAGTTTATTGGTGGGGGCAGTGGGCCACTGTTACGTTGAGACTGAGTTTACTGCTACATAAGGGGGATAAATGTGTCTGGAACACCTGGGATGCTTCTTGGTGATTCCATGTTGTAGGTAGCAACAGCATGACAAGGACTTAACTAGACCCTCATTCCCCTTGGAACAATGGTCTTGGATTATCTGAATAGGCAAGCAACTCAGAACAGCAGAAAGAAGTACAGGCAGAAGATGAAGAAATTCAGAATGGGTGCTAGAGGAGGGGGAGTATCAATTATCACCTCAGGACAAACTCCTGCAAGAACAGTAGCTCATTCCACTAACCCCCTATAATAACATTTTGAATTTATTAAAAGCATCTTTTTCTCTTAGTATACCAGACTCAGGGATGTGAGTGTAAGGCAGGAAGTCTAATCTCAGAAATAAAAGGCATCATAGTAACATCAGAAGCAAATTTAAAGCCCATGGATTTAATTTCATGGACACTGTGGCCACCTTTCAAAAATGTTAAGAAATAAGTCATACAATCACAGAATCCTAATGTTTGTTTGGTTACAAGTTACTATATAAAGATAAGAATGAAGAAAAAATGCAAAAAGCGTGTAGTTTTATGATCTGATTTTTCAATAAACTTCTGTATGTTGTGAGCTGTGGCATTCTCTCTTGAGAGGCTACCACAGCATCATCATTGCAGTAGGTTTTCCTTTATTGGGGGAGGATACTGCTATTAGAGCTTTGTTTTCTTTATACAAGACTTCCCCATTTTGCCGGAAGCAGGTCCATCCTGGCTGCTTGACACAGTTGCTGCAGGAAAGAAACATCTGCACAGCATATGTTTCAAGGGACCTGGCGTATAGAGCATACTGTTCTTAATATGTTTGCTCTCCTTAGCGCTATGTGTTTTAACCAAGGTCACCTCTCTGAGAAAGGTTGTTTCCCCAGGTAGGGATTTTTTCCCTGAAGTTAGGGAGGGGATAAAACCCCTTAACTAAGTGCCAGGCGGGTAGTTAATCACTTTAACTACGAACAATCACCCTTAAGCTACATAATCTTCTTTACTCCCTGGAATGGAGATAAGAAACGCCCTAACTTTTGGAATAGAAATTGACAGGATTAAAATCAACTGGTATAAATAGAGATGTAACAAGACAATAAAAGACAGACAGAACTTGGCTGGAGATCCTGGCTAGGCTGCTGATCAACTGAACGCTGTCTCCGTGTCATTCCTTCTTCGCCGACTCCGTCCACTCCTTTGGGGACCCCTGGACCTGCTGGGGTTGGACCCCAACAATTGGTGCCCGATCAGGGACCCTTCGGCAGGCAAGGGAGTAATCACTAATGAAGAGGCAGCCGATATCCTAATCAAACAACTGGCTTTTGAAAATGCTAATAATACCTGTCAGGCTTTATTAAGGCCGATTCGCAGGACGGGAACTATAAATGATTTTATAAAACAGTGTGCTGCCCTCGGTCCCGTCACAGGCGCTGAAAGCAATTGGAAGAACATGGCGCTCACCAGCTTTTTACCTGCAGCTACTCAGCTCTCTCAGGACCAGCTTGAGGCTGAAGAAAAGGCAAGATCCCAGAGATCATGGCACACCTCACTGGTCTGCTCCCGAAGAGAACCTCCCCAATACGGGTACCGGCAAGGCTGGATACCTCGGTTATTAGAGGATTTTGGAGATGGAGGTGCTTTCCCAGAGATCCATGTGGCCCAGTATCCACTGGATATGGGGCAAAAGAAAAAAATGTCAAATGCCCTGGCCATTCAGGTGGATGCTGAAGGAAAAATTAAATATGATGCCATTGCTCGGCAAGGACAGTCAAAAGACAAGGTCATTTATAGCAAGTACACTGACCTGGTTCCCAAGGAGGTCATGAATGCAGACGACCCAGACCTGCAAAGACCGGATGAAGAAGCTATTAAAGAGATAACAGAAAAGACCAGGGTGGCCTTAGGAAAATCTGTATCACAGAAGGTTGCTGCGGCCATGCCAGCTCGAGCGGCTGATAAACTGGCTCCCGCTCAGTATATCCGGTACACGCCATCTCAGCAAGGACTGGCTTTCAACTCTGGGGCAAAACAGAGGGTTATTCGTATGGTGGAAATGCAGAGAGATCCAATGGAACCTCCAAGGTTCAAGATTAATGAGAGAATTCCCCGAGGACCACCTTCTCCTCCCACACCTGTCATGCATTCTCCTAGCCGAGAGATGACTGTGAAGGAGCAACAGGAGTGGAAGATTCCTCCGTGTATTTCAAACTGGAAAAATGCAAAGGGCTATACAGTTCCGCTAGACAAACGTCTGGCTGCTGATGGAAGAGGACTGCAGACAGTTCACATCAATGAAAATTTTGCTAAGCTGGCCGAAGCCCTCTACATTGCTGATCGGAAGGCTCGTGAAGCCGTGGAAATGCGTGCCCAAGTAGAGAGAAAGATGGCGCAGAAAGAAAAAGAGAAACATGAAGAGAAACTGAGAGGAATGGCCCAGAAAGCTAGGGAGAGGAGAGCTGGGATCAAAACCCATGTGGAAAAAGAGGATGGGGAGGCACGTGAGAGGGATGAAATTCGGCACCACGGGCGGAAAGAGAGACAGCATGACCGGAATCTTTCCAGGGCAGCGCCCCATAAGAGGTCGAAACGGCAGAGAAATGAAAATCGAGATATCAGCGAGGTCATCGCTCTTGGTGTGCCCAATCCCCGGACTTCCAACCAAGTTCAATATGACCAAAGGCTGTTCAACCAATCCAAGGGCATGGACAGTGGTTTTGCAGGTGGAGAAGATGAAATTTACAATGTGTATGATCGCGCCTGGAGAGGTGGTAAAGATATGGCCCAGAATATTTACAGGCCCAGTAAAAATCTGCATAAGGACATGTATGGTGATGATCTAGAAGCCAGAATGAAGACCAACAGATTCGTTCCCGATAAGGAGTTTTCTGGTTCAGACCATAGGCAAAGAGGTAGAGAAGGACCAGTTCAGTTTGAGGAAGATCCTTTTGGTTTGGACAAGTTCCTGAAAGAAGCCAAACAGCACGGTGGCTCCAAAAGACCCTCAGATAGCAGCCGCCCTAAGGAACATGAGCATGAAGGCAAAAAGAGGAGGAAGGAATAGATACACCTCTTCACGGTGAATGGACTATTACCCATAACCCTAATGATGCAAGTTATATGGGCAAACACATTGTACACGGGCCAGATAAAAACCAAATCTGGGGGCAGATCCCAGCACTACTTTTTATTACAGCAGAAAGGGGCGTGGGGGGGGTGGAAAATTCTACTTTGAACTATTTAGTTTTGTTTTTAAAGAGTGGGTTGTGTTTGTGCTCCTCCCACCTTTTGGCATTTATAGAACATACTGCCTCATAAATGAAATAAAGACCACTTCCTTTTATGTGACGTTAGTACTTTGGGGTTTTAATATTTTGTGTAAGAATGACTGCTTGCTGATGAGTCAAGTTAACCCAACCACAGTGAGTCGAAGGATGTTCACCTATTGGAACTGTCCTGCCAAATGATGTATGCCCCTAATGTGCTCTGTTTTAATTTGGGAGTGGGGAAAAGTAAGCGCTTGCTTGGTGCACCTATTTGTTTCAAATAAAAACATTTAGACAAAAAAAAAATAAAAATAAAACAGTGTGCTGATGTAAAAAGACCCAGAGAAGCTCCTTGTCCCATCGTTCCAGAGACTTAGAGCTGCCCCGATGACAGAAAAGCAGAAAAGAAGAAAAGGAAGGCTATGCAAGGGACCAAGGTGCCAACATGGGGTCAGCTGAAGGTGTTAACAACAGGCTCAGCTTTGCCCCACATCTCCTTTCCTTTTTCTTTTCTTTCTTTTTTTAATCTGACTACTTGTTTGCTGGTTCTTTGGCCTTTCTCCTTCTCTCCTGAACACAGCCTTTTCTAGAATCTCCCTACCCTACTGTTCCAGTAAGGGCACCTCCCTTTTATGCCGTGACTAGGTTACTGACACCTGTGTGAATGTTGCGCTGGTCTTGACACCGCCCCCCCCCCCCCCGTTTCCACCTCCTGCATCTCAGGCCAAATCATACATTCATTAAATGAATTTGAGATTAGGACTTCATCCTCTCTGGAAAGACAAGACACTTTTGAAGTCAGGTTCACACTATGACAGAAACTGCTTATTATTTCAATATCCTTCCCTTTTATAATAGGTTTGCTCCAGGCACAGGGACACAGCTAGAGCCTACTTTTCCCAGCCTTCCTTGCAGCTAGCTATGGACACATGACTGGACTCTAGTTAATAAGATTGAGGTGGTTTATACAAGTTTAGGGGAATTCCTTGAAGGTATGTCTTGTCTTCCTTTTCCCTTTTTCTTCCCTCCTAGTTTGGTAGTTGTATTTTGAACTTATTGAGAAGCCCGATATGGCATGCTAGCTCTATAATGGCCCTTGAGCCTGATACTGTTAAGCAACACCGAGTCTTGTGATTGAGATCCGCCCACCCACCCCCATCCCAGTCTCAGGATTGTCCCATGAACATGCTTCACATTCCCTCCACCTTCCTAACCACATCTTGTAGTTGAAACCTGAAGATCTACCTATCGGCTATTAAGATAAGTACAGCATTTGATATGACCAGGAAGGGATGGAAAAGTAGCCCTTGAATAAAGTAAATGATTCAAGTTGACAAGCAGAAGAGGAATGGATAGAAACTTGATCGAGCCACTGTCTCAATTCTGCTCTTCAGGGAAATTGGGAAAAGCTTATGTGCCAGCTTTTTACTTGGGGACATGAGCCCAGGCAAGACTGAAGGACAGGGACAGAGGGAGGTACGTAGAAGGCTGCAGTTTACAGCCACTGGTTGCTCCTCTAGCAGAGGTACATAAGAAGCCTTATGAATCCCATCTCAGGACCCAGGGAAGATAAAGGGATGCCTTTATCCGTTGGCTCGCAGCTCCCAGTCTGTCAAGTTTGCCCCATATGCTAAGTACCTCATATTAACAGGTTGTTTGGCATAAATGCCTAGTGAGTTCCCAAGAGCATCCTGTACCTCCAACTTAGAGAGAAGCCCTCAGGAGGAAATTGGGAGGTAGCTGGTATGAGACCGAGTTGAGGAGTTGTCAGGTTACACCAGCAGCCACATTTGGAATAAAGAGATGAGGCAGAGGGGACCTGACCCAGCACACAGGAGTCAGTGCACCAGCCAGCATTAAGGAAGAGATTACAACCTTATTGATATTCCCTCTGCTGTATTTATATCCCCATGACTATTACTTTTTTTGAAGAATAGTTTGATTTTGAGAGAGAGAGGAAGGGGAATTTGAGAGTGTAACATCAATTGGCTGCCTCCTACACGCCCCCTAGAGGGGATCAAGCCCACAATCTGGGCATGTGCCCTGATCTGGAATCAAAGAAGCAACCTTTCACTGCATGGGATGATGCTCCAACCAACTGAGCCACACTGGCCAGGACCCTATGACTATTTTTTAACTACCAAGTTGTATTTCTCAATCCCTTCACATTTTCCTGGAAATATCAGGGGGAATGCTTTGTACATAAGGTATATTGCCGGAGACCATTCATTGTCTTCACTAGCTGAGTTTAGACAGAGACCCCCCAAAAGCTAGTAGCCCTTGAAAGTCCTAGTAAAGGTCAGGGCTTGAAAGTCCTAACAAAGGTCAGGGCTGTGCATCACCCAGTTAATCTAGGAACCACTCAGTTAATTTAGGTAATAATAGTTGAAGCATCCCCACCTTAGTTCCCTTAATTCCTTAGATACTTATGTAGATTTTTGTTGATTATTGTTAATCAGATACCCTGCCTACTCCAGGAAACCTATTGAGGAGCTAATCAGATACTTAGTCTATTCCTGTAATTTGTCAGCTGATCCCTGTGGCATTGAAACCTCCTTACCCTAGGGCTAACCCAAACAAACCTCCTTACCCTAGGGCTACCCCAAACAAACCTCCTTACCCTAGGGCTACCCCAAACAAACCTCCTCACCCTAGGGCTACCCTAGACCAAATAAAAGGTTGGAACGGCCTGAGCATCAGGGGAAGTCTTTCGGGACTTGCCCGCCTGGTCCCCCAATATTGCAAAATTATCTCGTGTCTTTTTCTCTCATTTGTTGTGCGGCTCCTCTTTCAGATACCGAACAGAACGTGGAGGGAGTCTTACTCGACAGTATATGACTGGCTCACCACTATGCTATACACCTGAAACTAATACAAAGTACTGAATATAAACTGTAATTGGAAATTTAAAAAATACAAAGGAGACTTACTGGGCCAGGCATGGAGAAGGAGTGTGCTTGCCTCTGCAGCCAAGGCCCTTCCAGAGGATGCTGGTGTCACCAGCAGCGCCTGGGACCAGCTGAGATGGTGGCGGCCGACAGCAAGCCGGCCCCGGCCCCTGCAGAGTAGCATGTGGAGGCGGACAGGGCGGCTGGGTCCTCTGCGGGGAGTGGCGGGATCAGGAGACCCATGCGAAGTTGCTCCACCCATGCAGACACATTTTGGGATTGTGGCAGCCAGATAACAATTTATACAAAGGGGTAGAAGGACTCTGAGTATGGGCTTAGAGTATTGGGGAGTGTGAGGTAATGACTCGTGTGTGAAGCTATAAGACTCACTCATCCAGTGTCGGTAATGACTGGAGACATGTAATACTTTAAACAATTTTTTAAAAAGGCATTCTTATATCACAATGTTGACACAGCCCTTGACCAAGGCAGTTGTTGATTCACCTTTACAGCAGAATTAGATGCTGTACAGCGACCAAGACAATTGGGCATAATGCTGTACAGCAACCAAGACTTTGGGCATAAGGCTTTATAAGCACCCTTAGGTTCATTTTTCTAGATGAAATGAACACAGCTTGAATACAATACCCACTGCTTCTCTATTCCATCCCACAATCTCGAGCATAACACTAGCTATGAAAGGACAGAAGTTCTCACAAGGCAATTCTGTTTGCCCCAAGTAAAATACCTAAAGATGGGCTACGAATTAGGGAAAAAAAAGATTTCAAGGGCTGACTGAATACCCTTGCAACTGAGTTCCAAACTTTTCCTTAATGGCTCAACCTCTATATTCCTTATTAAAGTCATAGCTGGTCCAATGCAATGGAATCTCAAAGGGAAACAGCACACAAACCTCTGGCCCTATGGAGGACTGCTACCTGTAGTGGTGGACGGCTTGGTCAGAGGTACCTGCCTCTCCATGACCCCCAGGTGGATAACTCAATGCAGTTCAAGCCCGCGTTTAGAATTCGCCTTACAGAGAGGAAACCGGCCACAGTGGAGTGCACGTACGGCTACCAAGGGCCCCACAGCTGCCACATGCAGATTCGGAAGGACGGGTTCTCCAGCAGGTGCAACCTGACGCACCGCCACAGGATGCCTGGTTGGAGCCAAGAGGATTTACGCGCGTGGCAGCGGGAAGAATGGGGGCAGATGCTGGAGCACATTTTCCAGGAGGACAGGCTGCAGTTCATCCTGATGAAGCTCATCTACCATCAGAATGACAACTGCCGGAACTACCGCCGCATCTACCTCTCCCGGAGCCACCCCGAGGACCTCATCAGGCCAGGCCTCTTCAAAGGCACCCACCATGCCTACAGCCTAGAGGTTGTCATGCTCAGCTTCTATGGAAGCATGGCAGGGTCACGAAGATCACGGTGACCACCACGTCCCTGCTGGGCAGCAGATGATAGAGATCCACCTCAGGCACCGCATCCAGCTGGCCGATGAGATCTTCAGCAACTTCAACAAGTACTCCCTCCTGGTCCAGGAGGTTCGCGAGCAGGTGATCCAGGAGCAGCAGCAGCAGCAGCAAGAAGACAGCACTGAGGACGGCGAGGGCCATGGCTGGCTGAGCCCTGGGCAACCCAGTGTCGGGAAGTCCGGGGCTGCAGCTTTGGAGAAGCAGCCTGTCCAGTTTGTCCTGCCTGCGGGCATAAGCTCAAGTAACCAGAACTACCCGTGAGCCTGCAGGATGTGTTTCTCTGGCGTGGGCATCGTTGCCTGCTCTGGCTCCGCCTACCCCCAGGGGATCCCTGGAGTCTTTATCCTGTTTGATGAAGTCCACCTCCGTTTCCTCTGGTTGGAACCGAATTGCCTCAGCCTGTACAGCAGAGTCCAGGTCACCTTCC